GTCTCCAACCCTAGCCGCCGCCTCCAAAGCTTCGGAACTCAGGAATCAAGGTCGCCATGGCGACTGAGACGGAGACCTTTGCCTTTCAGGCCGAGATCAACCAGCTGCTCTCCCTCATCATCAACACCTTCTACTCCAACAAGGAGATTTTCCTCCGCGAGCTCATCTCAAACTCTTCTGATGTAAGCTGCCCCCATCCTTCTCGAAATCTGAATACATCTGTGCGTTACTGTATTAGATTAGATTTTATGTATCCTTCTGGTTTGATCTGAGCATTCCGAGATGATGTGGTTTGATCTGAGCATTGCGAGATGATGTGCGGGCTTTTCGTCAGCGATACAAATCTGTCCGTTTCGCGAGTTCTGAACGATTGATTCTGTTTCTCTGCAGTCTAAGTTTGTTCATGTTTTGTTTTGATTTTTGCAGGCATTGGACAAGATCAGGTTCGAGAGCCTCACGGACAAGAGCAAGCTGGATGCGCAGCCGGAGCTGTTCATCCACCTTGTCCCTGACAAGGCCTCCAACACTCTCTCCATCATCGACAGCGGCATTGGCATGACCAAGTCCGACCTCGTCAACAACCTGGGGACCATCGCCAGGTCCGGGACCAAGGAGTTCATGGAGGCCCTCGCTGCTGGTGCTGATGTGTCCATGATTGGACAGTTCGGTGTCGGTTTCTACTCCGCCTACCTCGTCGCTGAGAGGGTCGTCGTGACCACCAAGCACAACGACGACGAGCAGTACGTTTGGGAGTCCCAGGCCGGTGGGTCGTTCACTGTCACTCGTGATACATCTGGGGAGCAGCTTGGCAGGGGTACTAAGATCACGCTCTTCCTTAAGGACGATCAGGTATGCTAACTGTGTTAAATCTTACTTTTATGATTTGTATGGAAAAAATCTGGAGCTGTTTGTGATCTGCAGCTGTGATATGTAGTTCATGACTTGTGTGCTTGCTAGATTTATTATATTTGGGACTCTATGACTTATTGACTTGTGCTTATGTTTAGTTGTTGATGGGGATTATGCAGTGCCAGTAGCTCATCTAATCTACATGTTAATCATATAAACTCTTAGTTGCTAGGTCGTCCTATGCTTCATTCTGGTACTTTCAGTGTATGGGGACAAAAAATCAGCGTGATCTTTTGCAAGGCTGATCTTAATTTGAAACTAGCACCTATATAGAGTGATGCTCGTTGTAACATAATCTGTGAACTACCAGTCTTAGATTGACAAGTTCATCTATACCTGCACCATGATATTAGTGTCGTGGCATTGTCACTGTGGCTACAGCATTTTGCGCCTAGCTTAATTTGACATGTAAAATGTCATTTTAATGGGGGTACATATTTTCTGAGAGATTTGTGCCTTAATTTTCTTTCTGGGATACACATTCTCCTCTGCTGCCATAATATTTACAAACAATCAAGTAAACTTTGTAGGTGTATGCTAGTTATTTTGAGGTTCCACTTGGTGATTCTGCTATGAATTATATGGTTGTATTCTTTGTGAAGCCATGTTAGAATTAGTAATGCTTATTTTTATGCTTGTTTTGCTATATTAATTGTGCAGTATGTTCTTTGTTAAGATTACAGTACAAGTTACATGATCTCATTCTCCTGTCGATTACCTCATTGTTTCTTCAGTATAATATGTTTGCTTGTTCTGTGTAAAGAAGTGATTTGTTGTAAAACCTGCTGGTTTTGCTTGATCTCATCTTTGAACTTTCTGTTTGCAGTTGGAATACCTTGAGGAGCGTCGCCTCAAGGATCTGGTCAAGAAGCACTCTGAGTTCATCAGCTACCCCATCTCCTTGTGGACTGAGAAGACAACTGAGAAGGAAATTTCTGATGATGAAGATGAGGAAGAGAAGAAAGACACTGAGGAGGGCAAGGTTGAGGATGTTGACGAGGAGAAGGAAGAGAAGGAAAAAAAGAAAAAGAAGATCAAGGAGGTATCTCATGAGTGGTCGTTGATCAACAAGCAGAAGCCCATCTGGATGAGGAAGCCAGAAGAGATCACGAAGGAAGAATATGCAGCCTTCTACAAGAGCTTGACAAATGACTGGGAGGAGCATCTGGCTGTGAAGCACTTCTCTGTGGAGGGTCAGCTGGAGTTCAAGGCTGTTCTCTTTGTTCCTAAGAGGGCCCCCTTTGATCTCTTTGACACCAAAAAGAAGCAAAACAACATCAAGCTCTATGTGCGCCGGGTGTTCATCATGGACAACTGTGAGGAGCTGATCCCTGAGTGGCTGAGCTTTGTTAAGGGTATTGTTGACTCTGAGGACCTTCCCCTCAACATCTCTCGTGAGACTCTTCAGCAGAACAAGATCCTGAAGGTGATCCGGAAGAACCTCGTGAAGAAGTGTGTTGAGCTCTTCTTTGAGATTGCGGAGAACAAGGAGGACTACAACAAGTTTTATGAGGCATTCTCCAAGAACCTCAAGCTTGGCATCCATGAGGACTCGCAGAACAGGAGCAAGATTGCTGAGCTTCTGAGATACCACTCCACCAAGAGCGGTGATGAGCTGACCAGCCTCAAGGACTATGTGACCAGGATGAAGGAGGGACAGAACGACATCTACTATATCACTGGCGAGAGCAAGAAGGCAGTGGAGAACTCCCCCTTCCTGGAGAAGCTGAAGAAGAGGGGCTATGAGGTCCTGTACATGGTTGACGCTATTGACGAGTATGCTGTTGGTCAGCTCAAGGAGTTTGAGGGAAAGAAGCTTGTCTCTGCCACAAAGGAGGGTCTGAAGCTTGATGAGACCGAGGACGAGAAGAAGAGGAAGGAGGAGCTGAAGGAGAAGTTTGAGGGCCTGTGCAAGGTCATCAAGGAGGTTCTGGGTGACAAGGTTGAGAAGGTGGTGGTGTCTGACCGCGTTGTGGACTCACCGTGCTGCCTTGTCACCGGTGAGTATGGCTGGACTGCCAACATGGAGAGGATCATGAAGGCACAGGCCCTGAGGGACTCGAGCATGGCTGGCTACATGTCGAGCAAAAAGACTATGGAGATTAACCCGGAGAACCCAATCATGGATGAGCTCCGCAAGCGTGCGGAGGCTGACAAGAATGACAAGTCAGTCAAGGATCTCGTGATGCTGCTGTTCGAGACTTCTCTTCTGACCTCCGGCTTCAGCCTGGACGACCCCAACACCTTCGGCACCCGGATCCACCGCATGCTCAAGCTCGGTCTAAGCATCGATGAGGACGAGTCTGCTGAGGCTGAAGCTGAGATGCCTCCGCTGGAGGACGACGCCGGTGAAAGCAAGATGGAGGAGGTCGACTAAGCCTGCCGGCTAAAATTTTATCCTTATTTTCTTCGTAGCCGTCCTCTGTTCGATGCTTTTCGCCCGTATCGATTTTGTGTTTGCCAGCTACGAGAGTGTGGATCAGGCTTCATTCGTGGTTGTGTGATACCTTTCGAACAGTTTGTCGGTGCTCGTAGTTCAATAGCACGTATTACTAGTTACTACAAGTTTTAATGTCTTTTGGTTAAGTATAAATATTCTGTTGCACTGCCGGCGGTGCCACTACCCCTAGGTCGAGCATTGTTTTGTCGAATTCCGACCATGAGTCGAGCATGTTATTCATGTGCTTATAGGTGTTTTTGCGTTTGTGAGTAGATAATCTACCAAAGCTTGAGTCAGATGGTATAAATTACTCGTATAGAAAAATTCCCATCAAGTTCCATCGTATGCTTGAGTCAGATGTAAAGTACTCGGATAGAAAATGTTCCATCGTATGCTCTGTTTTAACTTTTTGTTAAAGTTTTTCAGAAAGAGGAAAAAAAGAACATGTGATACATCTCAGTCTCATTTGTCCAACACCTAGAGCGACCCTAGCTCTGTTTTGTTTCTGTAGTCACGAAAGTCAAAACCAAGTTGTTTTAATTTTTTTTTCTTACTAGATAAATGATCATGCGTTGTACGGGACATGAACTTTTTTACCGAGCTCAGTAATCGGACGCAGACGCATGAGCTTTGAGAACTTCGTATCGAACACAGATACGTGTATCGTGTATCGAAACAACTTTAGGCATGGAGTAGCAGCAACATTTTTTACAATTTGTCAGTGTTGTATTATTTCATATCATAGGACATGAACATCTAGGCATGAAATCCAATCTTCAAGGCATGAAATTGAATCTTCAAAAAATAAAGAGGAATAATGAATAGTTTTTTTTTATTGAGAGATCGAAGGATAGAAAAATTAGCCTCGCCTTTGATCCCCTTCGTGACAGCTGCCGTGATGCAGTTCGAGCATGTACATAGATTGGGAGGAGGGGCTCCAAGATATTGCTGTGATGATCTTGTGGACCTGTACGTTCCTTTTGTAATTATATTACCCGTACGTGCTTTCTGGATTTATAAATGTGACGAGGCCGCCGACCGTCTTCAAAGCGAACTCTGCAAAAGTTTGTTCTGACGCGGACCCTGTACGTAGGAACGCGGACCCTGTACGTAGACGCACTCGCGCCGGTCGTTTCGTGATTTCGGACTTCGCGCGGAGGCGTGGTGGTGTGCGGACTTTAGACTTTTGTGCAGAACACTTTAGATCTTTAGATCGCCATGGAGACACGGAGTCCTTGTGTTTCAGATCGACATGGAGACATGGAGTTGCCATACAGCTTTTGTGTTCCTGTAGTCGTTGGCTATCAACTGGCTCGGCTCTCCCAGCGAACTTTTGCCTGAACTTAGAAAATGTTTCGTGTTCCCTGAACGAGAGTACGAGACGACGATTCGTGTTCCCATCCTTTGTTTGGCACGTGTACAAGGAGGGCACCCTCTCTGCTCGCCACGCCGCTCCGTGAACAGGCGAGGTGGCCATAGCGCGCGGCTCTATGTTCCTAACTCACGTGACGACCCTTTATAAATGGAGGCGCGATTCCGTCGTGTCGGATCACAAAACATCGCGCAAGCACCTAGTCGGCTAATCCTAATCCACAAGGGAGCGTACAACCGCGACTCCGCCAGCAGCGAATCAAGCCAAGGGCACACGGCGATGGAGGCGACCAAGGAGTGGCAGCAGCAGCAGCAGCAGCGGAAGGCCGCCGACGAGGGCGACAGCGACACGGTGCAGCTGCCGACGGAGACGAGCCCGTACGTGCAGTACGAAGGCCTCGAGGACTACAAGATGCGCGGCTACGGCGCGCAGGGCCACCTCCCCGTCTCCGACGTGCCCCACGGCGGAGCCGGCACCGAGGCGCCCACCGTCCCAGGCACCGCCATCCCCGTGGCGAAGCCGAAGCGCCCCGACGACGTCCAGCCTCAGCGAGACCTGGGAGGAGGTGGAGGAGGAGCAGGGGCCGTCAGGCGCCCCGGGGGCACGGCCACCGACGCCATCAACCGCCACGGCGTGCCGTAGCTTTAGCTTGGCTTTGGCTGGGTCTCGTCAGCGCGCGCGTCATGGTCGATGCGCTCATGAGCAGGACACATGACCGAGACTTGTTAATGTGCGCTTGTCTGTGTGTTTTAGATGTAAAATAATACGCAAGTTTGCAACGAAAAATAATGGGCCTTGCGCCATTGTCACAACTCACATGACTACTTGAGTGACGGTACAAAATTACTACTACAAAGTAAGATTTCACGGCGGGCACAGCACACATTTCGCCGTCCGCACGATTGCCCGCCGCCGTCGTGCACGCGCTGCCGTTGTTAAGGATGTCGCCGGCTGCCCGTACCAACATCTGCCTTCTCGTCAATTGGCATCTGTACTTGCAACTACGGCCTCACCATTTCCATCCTTGAATCCAGGAGGAGGAATTGACCGTTGTCTTGGTGTGGGCGGCCGGCCACGGCATCTAGGCCGGGGTGGCAACGGCGGAAGGAACGACGAGTCGTCCTGCTCCTGCACTCCACGTTTCTTTACCGTGTCGAGCATGGCCTCGAGGGAGCTCTTCGGAGCGGCAGGTGCCATCACGGGGTCCGCGGCAGAGGGCATCACCACCGAGAACGCGGACCCGATCGCGCAAAGGAGTAAGCGCGAACACCACGAAGCTAGGATCTTGAACGCCTTCATTGTGTTGTTGTGAACAGATGGTGAGATTGGTTGCGGAAGAATTTGCGATAGGGACCGATGTGTGTGTGCTTTCTGACGGAGTGGATTTGTAGGGGGCGGCCCAGCCAAATTCCTGCGCGGGCGTGGTCGAAGAAAGGAAAGGGAGGGACGATGGCGACAGCCGCGCTGTCCTTCCATGCATACCGGAGCGCCAGAGTTTTCGGCTTGACCATCTTTATTTCCATTTCTCATCGGGGAATTACGGATCGTGATGATCAACTTGCCCTATATCTCAACTTGTATATATGAAACAATGAATCGTATATCGAATCACCAATGGGCGTATGCATGCACGCCACGCCGATTGATGACGACTAGTCTCAGCTGCAGCCCTTGGCGCCGAAGCCGATCTTCTGGTTGGCCACGTCGTAGACGACGGCGAACGTCTTCTGCTGCATGTTCCCGAGGATGCCGATGGACGTGTCGTCGCCGTTGGACGCGAACGCCAGGCACGCCTGCGACTTGTTCGCCACGTACAGCACCCCGCCGAAGCCGAGGTTCACGGTGGCGCCGCCGTCGAACAGCAGCGCCACCGACGGGATCTGCACCTTGGCCCGCCCCGTGAAGTCGTAGCACGTGTCCAGGATGGACAGCGCGGGCGCCCTCTTGTACCGGCGCATGAGGCCCGCGAACGACGACCGGAGCGCGGAGTAGGCGCGGGACGGGAGGCGGGTGATGACGGTGCCCGAGTCGATCACGGTGCCGGCCATCCTGAACACGGCGGGGGCCACCCTGACCGTCCGGCCGGCCACCTTGATCCCGACCAGGTTGAGGTAGTAGAAGGACGGGGTGTCGCTGCGGGTCACCATCGCCGTGAACTGCGCGTTGGGCGGCGCGGCGCTGCCGAGGGACAGGTAACCCTCGGCGCTCGACGACGAGGGCAGGCAGTAGGAGAACCCGGCGCCGTACTTGGCGGCCGCCTGCGAGGCCAGCGACACCTTGTCGCGGCCGAGGCCGAAGAGACCGTCGGCCTTGCCGAACAGCCCGGTGTCGTCGTCGCCGCACCCGAAGACGAACCCCTGGAGCTGGTCGGACAACGACGGGCCCAGCGTCAGCGTGTCGCGCGCGAGGTTGCCGTCCGTCTGCGACATGTCGCCGTAGACGACCTCGTACCGGCACTTGCCCGACGAGCAGGACCCCGAGTCGAGCCGCCGGCACTCCGGCGCGCGGCACGGCACGGCGGAGTAGGTCGTCGACTGCGACGGGTCGAAGAGCGGGTCGTGCTGCTGGTAGCAGTCGTCGCACGGCTTGCACTGCACCCAAGAAAGGTCGCTGCCGGTGTCGAACACCACCAGGAAGTCCCGCTTGGGCGTCCCGAGGCCAACCGAGACGATGTAGTTGGCCGTGCCGAGAGGCACGCCCCTGCGCGCCGGCAGGGACACGCCCTTGGAGGCGCTGGCCGGGTCGTCGGCCGTCGACGGGCCAGCGGTCAGGCGGTGGATCGAGTCGACTCTGTCCTGGTCCCTGTCCAGGATCTCCGCATGAGACGGCTCGCCGCCCCGAGCCTGCAGCGGCGAGCATGGGCCGTGCCGGTGCACGACGCTGAGAGCCGACGAGTTTGACGCCGCCGCTGCATGATATATATCAATAAGCATCAAAATTATTAGCAGGTTTCTGACGACTTCTGGCAGTCATCATTGTTTCTGTTAATAACGGACGATAAAATTTTGTTGCTGCGATTCTTTTGGCAGTGCTTTGGTCTTTGGTTGGATGGTCACATCAAGAAATTCTCTTGTGCAACTGTCGTGTCGTGTGTACCTAACAACAGTAGTTAGTGCTGCAAACGTGCAATATAACCAACTTGCTTGTCAAAACAAACTTTGTTGACTTCGGTATAAAGCTAAGCTATCTGCTCCCACTGTCTAACAGTACTAGGATTTACACATACTTACAGTTTATTTGTCTACAGTATAGCCTAGCCTACGTACGTACGTACGTACGTATACGTACTTGGTTGACTAATGCCTAGCTTAGAAATTACTAGGAGTTCCGTACAGACTGTTTTTTTGAAATAATTCCGTATAGACTGTTGCCTCCTATTCGGAGGTACGTACACCATTTATACCTGGCGTGTTCACTTGGAGGAGAGACACTAGGTCACTAGGCGCACAAAAACATCCCAATTCGAGCACAAACCCACTTCAAAATACTGTCTGGTAGTACCATTTGCACTCATATCATATAGGTAAATAGTCATTTAGACATATGAGCCGTATTTTGCAATCCACGCATCGTCGCACAGCTAACCTACCATCCTTTGGGTTTAAGGGAAAAAAATGACAATGGCGACCATAGGACGGTAGCAGTAGCAGTTTCCACAGCACCGAAACCAAAAAAAAGCAGCAGTGCAAGGAGGCGGAACAGACGAAGCCTACCTCTCTTAGGCGTGCAGACCGCGGTCGGCAGCAGCGAGGTGACGCTGACGACGTGCCAGTTCGGCCCGCTGCTGCTCTCGTCGTCCGCCGCCACCGACGCGACCACTGCAAGCGCGAGCACAACCGCCAGGCGGCAGCAGCCACGGGACAGAGCGCGCCGCGTCACGGGCGCCATGGGGGGACTGGGGCTCTGCGCTCGCTAACCACTATAATGATCAGAGCGATCGACTCCGAGATAGACGCCGCCGCTCATATATATACTAGCTAGTGCTGGACTGCTGTTTGGCCAGCCGCGCGCGCTACCTGAAGTGTGTTGTGTGCGCAGTGGCCCGTACCGCGTCAAAGTCTACGGCCGTGCGCAAAAATTTGGCCGTGCGCCACACGCGCCCGGGGACGGGCCCCACGGCCGCCACCCCACCCGCCAGCCACCGAGCGAGGAGCGACGTACGAGACGAGACGGAAACATAACCAGTGCCGGGCAGGGGGGCTTAAGTGCTTCACCGACTCGCCGCTCGCCAGGCGTGGTCGTCGTCGTCCGCACTCCGCACGCGCCTCTACCTCTACGGGGAGTGAGGACGGAATCCGAAAGCGGGCGCGTCAACTCCGCACGACGCGACGACGCGTCTTACCCCGCACGCCGGCACGCCGCACCTGACGACGGCGAGTCCCCGGCCCGCCCGGCCCGTTCGCACTCGCTCTTCGCCCCTCGATTCAGTGAGACCGGGACGCGTGCAGTGTAGGGGAGAAAATGACACCACTTGGCTTAGAGCCGTCGAGATCCTACACTGCATGGTGCAGTGCCGCGGCCGGTGGCGAGTGATCTGACTGACTGACTGAGTGCTGCGACGGATGGATCGGATGATGCGGACGTAGCTTTCTTGTCGTCCATCACATAGTAGGAAAAGGCGTGGAGGCCGGACGGACTGGATGGCTGCCTCTCTACCCGCGCCGATGCGTCGAGGGCGAAGTGCGCGGTGAACCACGGCGCTTGAGATGGTGACCGAGTAATCATGGCTCCGTGACTTGACTTCTCGGGACGGGCTGCTGCTACGAGCGTGGGTCATCACTCATCAGTGCAGCGGTTACGTACGCTGACAGAGAAGCGCGCACTAACAGCGACCCGAGCCGCGATCTAGGGCAGGGAGTCGCATTCCTTGCGATCACGACGCCGAATCGGACATGCGAGCGCACCAGTGCTCCTCAGCTGCATGACAAGGTAGGACTCCGTGACCTATATACATCCTATATGACAACCATTTTCTTTAGCTTAATTATGCGACCGTGTGCCGGCTGAAACGCAAATGTAACGATAGGATTATTGTCACCGGCGGGGTTTTATATAGAACTTGAAGAAATCTTTGTTTGACGCGAATGCGCACCGTACTACCCGTCAGAACATGGATGCGTTCATGTGCGTGGACGACAGCGCGAGAAAAAAAGCAGGACTGCTCGTGGTTGCCATGGCAGAGCTGGGCCAAGCAATCAGGCTTGCGGTTGCCCAAAACAAATCGAGCTAGAAAGCAACTCTACGTCGTCTGTACCTAACCGACAAAGCCCCTGCCTACTACGACTAGCTAGCACTGGACGGCCAGTGTTTTTTCACGTTTTTTCAAACACACTAATCTAGAGAAGATTAGATTCGTTCGCGTAGCCGGACCCTCCTTTTTGGAGAAAAAAAATGAAGACGTGTGGAGTTTCTAGAGTTCTAGCGCTAGCCTGTTAGCATCTGCTTGCGTCGTCGGGTTTGTGAACGACGTGCCGGCGTGAACGTGATGGAGGAAGTACGTGCGTGCAAGCGTGAGAACTGAGAAGGCTTGATTTCGTAGCTCCCAAATGTACACCAACTTCTATTGGGGCAGGCAAGCGCGTCCGAAAGCCTTTACGCTAGAACTTCCTCCATCTAGAAAAGAATGTAATTATAGGATCCGTGTCCATCAAAATAGCTTAAATTTGACTAAGTTTATAACAAATAGTATTAATATTTATGTCTCTAAATAAATTTATTATAAAAATATATTCTATGACTAATCTAATGATACTAATTTTGCATGAGGAATATTAGTATTTTTTTATATAATTTTAGTCAAAGTTTAAACTGATTAACTTCTCAAAAAACGAGAATTATATTTTTTTTGGACGGAGAGAGTACGTTACAACCGTTACAAGTACCATGTACTCGTGCACACAAAAGATGTGCAGAAACCACTCACAATCACGATTAAATTTTCAGGACTATTCATCAAAACAAAAAAAAAAAGGAGATGTGCTTTGCCATGGTGCCTCTTTTCATTCCTTCGTCGAGTTTGAGGTGGGCCGCACTGTCTTCCACAAATCTGAGAGCCCATTTGGTCGGGTTTCGAGCGGATCCAGCTCCTCTGACTCTTGTAGCGACACTATTTACCGGAGCCATTTTTCTCTCTCCTCCTTTCCTCTCTCACTGACAGCGCCAGAGCCGGAGAAGCTCGTTTTTTTTTCTCCTCCGCTCCAGCTCCTGCGCGATACAGTTGCGCTACAGTGTGGGAGCCAGAGCCGGCGGGAGCCCAGCCAAACGCGCCCTGAGAGTCGCTGTACTGCGTGATCGAGGCCCATCTCAGAGGTCGCGTTTTCCACTGACTACCCAGGGCAATCGCCGAATTGACAGGCCCAGGTAATCCGAGTACGTACGCGAATCGCATGTCGTGCACTCTGTGCCACACTAGTGACGAGTGGCAGCTCCTGTCGCGCCATTTGAAGAGGCGTGGCAACTCCGTGGTGTCGTGTTGGTGGAGTTGGCGCGACAGGGCTGCAGCCGGCTCTTCCCCATTCTATTTTTTCCAATACTACGAAGCGGGACGGACCGCTCTCCACCCGCTCCCTATTCCTGCCTAATTCTCTTCTGACGGTCGTTCACTAGAATCCAGCAAACGATCAACTGCTCCCATGACTTTTCTTATTTTAAAAAATAATATCCACAAATTTCATCTTTTAGAAAGTAATTAAGATATACATATATGTTATGGGACCTAACTTATTTCTACAACTTATATTGACAACTTTGACAAAATAACATTTTGCATAACAAAATTTATCACCATAATTTACGTAATTTTTTTATCATAACTTTTAAATTACGTAAATTATGGTAATAACTTATAAAAAAATAGAAAGTCACGGGGGCTGTTTGATCGTTCACCAGGGAACTGCTCAGCCAGGGCCAAATGGCAAGCCCAACCGGCCACCCCACTTATTCCCTCCCTCTCTCTTACATGCGGGTTCGAGCGTCAGCTCCTCTTCTCCTTCCCCAGACGGGAAACACAGTCGTTGCCTACCCATACGAGAGTATGCGTGCTCCCGCCTGCATCTGCTCCTCTACTCGGCCCACACCGACTCAGTGCCACCTACCTCGACGGGCCATCACCGCGCGCGCCGCTCCCCCTCCCCGCACCTCGCCGCCGCACCGCCGTCCCTGTCACTCCTCGCGGGCATCCTCTCTGGCCTCGTCGAGATCGGTGACTTCTTCCGCCTGCCATGTGTGGCCAGGCGGCCAGGAGAGGGGGCCGTCGCTGGCCGGGCCCAAGCAAGGGGCAGTCATAGCTGGTCGCTGCCAGGCCATGCCACCATCCTCGGCCACCAGCTGGCCGAACAGCTGTTCCCAGCTCTGCTGTGCGTCGTCCGGAAGAAGGGTGAAAAACGCATGTTGCAAGCATATGTTTCGATTGTTTCAGATATTTCATAGGTATGTCGTAAGTGCTTCATATGGACGTTGTAAAAGTAGATCGGAATGTTGCATATGTTGCAAGCTTATGTTCTCAATGTTTCATGTATTTTTTCACACGCACGTTGTAAGTGTGTTTACCTCGATGTTGCATATGTTTCATATATATGATGCAAAGTGTTTTATCTAGATATTGCGTATGTTTGTAATGAAAACGAAGTGCAGCGCAGATGTCCGGACGTTCGGGCACTAGCACTTCCGTTTAAATAAACTAACAGTTAATATTTAAATTCTATGGAACTTGATGTGTGCTATATATGTTGTAAACGTTCCATTTTAGTGATTTGCACTAGGACAAGTGCTATTTTTGAAATATCTAATTGCAAAGTAGTTTATATGTTATTCCTAAGACGAGGTGAATTTTTCTCACACATATGCATCAGGGAATCGATGATCAATTTCTTTTGCTTGTAGATATCAACTATCAAAATCCAATATGTTTTTTTTTTGTGATTTTGTCATAATCTTGAAAGTCTGGAAATCTTCCTGTCATCAAGATCACCGCTACGAAAGCTATCATCATATTTAAGCCACGATCGCTAGGATCGCATCACGTTATAGCCGTTGATCTTTTGCGAACCACGGTGGATTTCAGGCGCAGCCCTTGGCGCCGAACCCGATCTTCTGGTTGCCCACGTCGTAGATGACGGCGAGCGTCCTCTGCTGCGTGTTCCCAAGTATGCTCAAGTCCGCCTCGTCCTGGTTGGGCACGAACGGGAGGCACGTCTGGGACACATCGTTCCACGTATAAAGCACGCCGCTGGGGTGCAGGTGCACGGTGGCGCCGTCGGCGAACACCAGCGCCACCGACGGTATCTGCACGGTCTCGTGGCCGGTGAAGTCGTAGCACGTGTCGAAGATGGTCGAGCTGGGCGCCCTCTTGTAGTACCTGCCCATGGCGCTTCGGAACGACGACCGCAGCGCCGCGTAGGCGCGAGGGGGGAGGCGGCTGAACGCGGTGCCCGAGTCGATTATGGTCCCCGCCGCCGTCGCGAACACGGACGCGGGCACCTTGATCGCCCGGCCGGCGACCAATATGCCGGTGAGGTTAAGGTAGTAGGACGACGGGTCCTGGCCGATGACCATCTCCGTGAACCGCGCGTTCGCAGGGGCGGCGGCAGTAGGAGAAGCCCGCGCCGTACCTGGCCGCCTCCTGCGACGGCAGCGCCGCCTTCCCGCGGCCGAGGCCCAAGAGCCCGTCGATCTCGCCGAATGTCCCGGCGTTGCTGTGGTCGCACCCGAAGACGAAGCCCGGGACCGTGTCGGCCGGCGACAGCGACAGCGTCAGCGTGTCGCGCGCGAGGTCCCCAGCGGTGTACGAGTCGTCGCCGTAGGAGACCTCGTAGGGGCACTTCTTCCTGTCCGACGAGCAGTTGCGCGACGACGAGCCGAGCTCCTGGCACTCCCGCGCGCCGCAGGGTATGGCGGAGTACGTCGACGACTTGGCGGGGTCGAAGACCGGGTCGTGCTGCTCGTAGCAGTCCGCGCACGGCTTGCACTGCACCCACGACTGGTCGCTCCCGGTGTCGAGCTCCACTAGCAGGTCCGTCGCCGGCGTGCCCAGGCGGAGCGAGGTGACGTAGTTGTTGGTGCCGAGAGATTTGCCCCAGTTCGCCAGCAGGGACACGCCGCCCTTGGACTTGGACGCAGTTACAGCGGCTGCCTTGCGGCGTATGGCGTCGACCCGGTCCTGGTCCCGGCCTAGGATCTCGGTATGGGACGGTGCGCCGCCGCGTGACTGCAGCGGCGAGCACGGGCCGTGCCTGTGCACGACGGTGAGCGCCGACGAGCTGGGTGCCGCTGCATGCACGACGAGCTAGTCATGTGCCGTTATCTTTTTTTTCGAATAAAATAAAGGGCATGTCTACTGTACACCCGTGTGTTTTGGGAACATCCAGCACATGGGTGTTTTTTACTCCAAAATACACGAATTGTAATAGAGGAAAAACTATGTGTTTTTTAAAAAGCTAACACATGAATTCTGGATTCAACGCCTAATTCTGTTCTGGTTGTTTCTGTGCGCAGCAATGTTAACGGGTCCGTGAATCAAACCCATCAAACCTTATCAGGCCCGCCGAAGCCTAACGAGCGGACAAACCGATAACCGCTAATTAAAGTTTTGCTCATTTCGGCAACTGTTGGCCTAATAAACACACGTAAGCTTATTGACAAAATAATGACTCTGCCACAAATCAAAATTAGCTCAGAGCACCCAATTACTATTTCATATGCTGCTAGATTTTGCACAATCTTATATGCAAATTAAGTGTAATGCATTATATTGATGAAATTAACATAACAAAAATATTTCCTCACCCATAGTGAGATGTTCTCGATGAAAAAAATGTACAATGAATATCTTCAAATATTACAAAACAGAAATATAAAAATTGCACGTTTCAAATAGCACAAATAATACATATTGTTATTGCAATTATACTTTATATGTATATAAATACATAATCCACCTTAATAAATCACTAAATAACTTGGACGACATCTACACCACTAATCCAACCTGCTTATCAAAGCAGGTCATGACACTCCTCATATGGTATCACAAAAAACATTCACAAATAACTACAGTTCACTCAACTATAGAGCAGCTAGTCAGTCTAACTGCCTGAGAATATATCTACAAGAGAACTAATGTTAGCTATCCTTGAACAGAAACAAGAACCTTGTAATCCAACGAGTGAGCACTCTACATTCTTCACAAATGCCCCCACAAGACAAAGACAAGTGGAACGAGGAAGACTAACCTACAACAGAACCAACACTTCCATTGGGTCATTGTCTTCACAAAGAGTCCTCGAAATGAAACCATAATTGTGAGGGTATACAACTAATGAGTACATGACTCAATCAACCTACCAAATTGTAGCACATGTCAGAAAGAAAGAAAAACAAACTAAACTATTACATTTCATCAGTGCAGGACTCAATCATCCTGTACTAGCAAATTTCTAAAATGTGTCGGGATAAATGTCTAAAAATCTAGTAGATCTATGACAAGCACTGAAGATAAATGTCTAAAATCTCTAACGGCCTCCTACCAAGAATTAGTTAAATTATTATTAAGGGATGTGGCCTGAAATCTCTGAAACATGGTAGTAAACTGTATGTAAAGCGCATGTTAGCTTTGCATGAGGCTACAGAGCTTAAAAGACACATCAACAACAATCCTGAAGGACACTTCTGCCTCTGCTATCAACTTTCAAGGGCTAGATACTGAGCATTGACGTGCAAGTGTAGCTTCAGTAATGATTTGCCTCTAGCTATTAGAAAAATACTAGCATTATTACTAATTTAACTATGGTGTTGACCACACAAATTGGAATAAACAAAGGAAAAGTCGTGGCCCAGTAAGACATTACACAATTCTAGAAAATGTAAAAAACCACTCAAGTAAACTACACCATGTACAACCCACTACACACCACCCAAGTAAACAAAGTTGGAAGGATTTTTATGAAAGAATGATTTCCTTACTAATAGTCAACCCTTGAAAGTAGACATATTACATGTCCTTAGCACTAAATTTGCAGAGCTCAATACTTGCAATTTACAGCATTGCTAATTGCAATTATTAAGTAACCAGCTCAAAAAACTTATGCCTGACTGTTGAAGCGATCTCATATTCACAATTAAGTTCATACTAGTTTACAGCTCACCCAATTTAAAATTAAGTTCACAGAAAAATACACTCAGATCACAGACAACCTGGTTTAGTGAAGCCTGCTAAGAATAAAGTTTTTAAAGAATTACTTACCAGTGGCACTATCACTACAACTAGCATTTTTGGCGACATTTCAAGATGTGTTATTGGATTTGTTACAAAGCAAAACAAAATACAAGATATGTTAGCAATTGGGGTGGGCAGAAACTGAATCACCAATGCACTACCTGACGATGTGGAGGCGGCTCAGGACACGGTCACCGGCAGCTTCCCCCATTGCTATTCCTCTTATTGAGTCCTCAAACTTGCACAGCAAAACAGAAACAGAAACACAGAGTGTTTGAAACATGGATTTCTCACAAAACATAGCATTCGGGTGCCACTCCCCCAAAACTGAAACTGTAACACAGAGAGTGGGCCCTACACGTCAGCGTCACAAAGAAACCAGCAAAGGTGGGAACAGACCACACCGTCAATCCTTCATCCAACGCACAGGAAATCCGTGTGCCCACAACCTAAAAAACACACGCGCAATGTTTAGTGTTCCCCTAAATAAAACATTGAAAAATTTCAGTTCATCTCTCAGATCATGATCAATAGAGGCAGTTTTTGCCTTCTCAATCTGCCATTGAACAGAACAATGACATCATGATCACTACAGAATGAAAAAAATACAAATTACTGATGGTAGGAAAATAATATGTAGCTCAACACACTTCCAAAATCACACCACAAAATGATAGTGTAAGTAAAATTTGACCACACCAGATACTAACAAGTTTCAAATTAAAAGGATAGAGTCAAGTCAATCTAATCCACCCTGGAATAAATTAAACCGAAATAAATATTAAAAGGATAGAATCAAGTCAATCTACTCCACCCTGGGCTAAATTAAACCTAACTAAAAACAATTCACACAGATATTAAAGATTATTTAATTCAAATTAAACTAAAGATTCCTTCACATTTTCCTAGGCCACCCTTAGTATTATTCTTCTCTGGACCTGTCTAATGTCAGGTTGGAAGGGCTTTCTAGTAAACCAGATGGTTGAGAGACATAAAGAATGGCATATTTAGCTCCTCACTGCTTCAGCAAGGCTTTCAAGTCAGAAAGCAACTCTGTTTTTGTAGTGACATTAGTATGAAATTAACTTTCAGCTGTACAGTTGTAAGTGATAGAACAATGTAAGAAGTCTTATCCTAACCTTCTGTTTTTGCAGGGTATAAATCCTTGAAACCACTATAGCAGAAGACATTAAGCACAACGAAGAAATACAACAATGATTTATTGATTTCACAAAGGAAGGACCATGCCAGAAAGTTGCGTCAGTAAGGTTTTGTTTGTATCTAGAATTAATCATAAGACAAATTGGACATTTTAGATCTACTGCAGTTTCATAATATAAGTAATTTGAAACATGATTTCATCACAAAGAGATATACCTATCCTTAAAAAGGACATATAAGTGTGAAGGTTCTGCTAGATGATCTAGACCTAGTTGTTCCATTACAAAATTTCACAAAGGATCATGCCTGAAAGTTGTGTCACGTCATCAAGGCTTTGTTTGTATCTAGAATTAATCATAAGGCCAATTGGATTCATTTAAGCTCTACAGTTTCTTAATGTCAGGAATTTGAAACATGGATTTCTCACAAAAGACAGACAATTTAAGCATTGAATCTCTGACAACAAAGATATCCTTATCCTTAAAAATGACATATAAGTGTGAAGGTTCTGCAAGATGATCTAGATCCAGTTGTTCCAATACAATATAAACTACAAACAATTTACAGAGATATGCAACAGATACCTCAGAGTGCAGAATTAATGATGGAGATGAGGAATCACATGTACACATTGACAGTGGTGGAGGCGTAGCCGGCGATGCAGAGGATGCAGCAGAGAGTGAACACGGCGATCAGGATGAGGTTCCTGGAGTGCTTCTCACTGTACTTGAGTATGGGGAACATGACTGCACAAACAGACTGCACAAACAAAACCACAAAACCACGATTGGTGATCCAAAACCTAGGAAGGAAAGATGGGAACTCCATTAACATTGATTTGGCAAAATATGAACCATCTGTTGAACAAATATTTTAATATTCTTATGATAGACCCAACAATTTTATATTATTTTATCAAATTATTAGGCATGGCAATATAGTGCTAGTTAATTAATTCAACAAATATACTGTGAACCAGAGCTCAACGGTTGCTTTAGAGTTAAGAAGGTCAGAGATTCAGTCTCTAATCTTAACTGCAGATGCAGTACAAATGCTACGTAGAACAATTATATCTATCGGATCCCCTTTCCATCAATCGTAGCATATATACCTCTAAGAAGCAAGACAAGCCCTGCACATACAACCTAGGCGTGCTTCTCCACAGGGCGCAGGATGAAACAACCTCTGGCAGACAGGACTTGCTGAAGGTCGTGGCCGCTGCTGCCATGGTTCACGGCGCGCCGGAAGTGGAGTCCCGCCGTCCAAGAGATCGACCGTCGAGGCGCGTGCTGATAAACATGAAATTGAAGCAAATTTTGTTGGGCATCAGTGCATCACAGCAACAACCTGATATAGTAATACACCTACTACTAACGTCCACAGAAAGACACGACAACCAAAAAAACAAGACACTGGAAATATATAAGGACATAGAACCTTTTTTGGCACACCTAATAAGTGATAATTATTGATAGCCTGACATGATTATGAACTCCATAGAAATAGGCAACTATCAAACATCTTGTGTTAATTAATCTGGATGCATGTGACGTAAACGAAACTTATGAATGGCAAAAAAATGCAAAAAACCGCTAGCCTTCAGTGGCATGTGTAGCACTTTGGCCTCAGCTGGACATTCAGATGGAGTCATTAAGAATTTTATAACCATTGGTGGCTGTCATGGAATCCATCTGACCATCCATTCCCTGCCAGGCAAAATGAGCGAGAAGAAATAGGAAAAGGAAGAGACCGCTCGGCTCCCCGGAGCGAGACCCGAGATACAAACAGTCCACAAGGTGGTGGGGCCAGCCCATCAGCTTCACATCGAAACCAAGGAGCGGATGGGGCTGAGGGAGTGCACAGATTGAGCGAGAGACAGATCGGACGGCCGTGTTGCAAACAAAGAAAACACACGCGTGTGATATACCAATTCCGAAGGAGTGGAATTAGAAGCTCACAGCCAATAAGCAACTAGGCAGCCACCTCATTAACAATAGTTTGCATCATAGGCCTTTAAATTTTGGATTCAATAACTAGAAAACACAAGAAACAAGTCCCAACTCTTGTTCTACATCCAACATCCTTCATCTAACATAAACACAGATTACAAGAGACAATTACAACAGACAATTTTTTCTATGGAAGGACAATAGATAAAATTTTCTCCATAGACTAGCACAAGTGCAAGCAAAAAGCAAATATGTGGAGGAACAGCACAATAACAAATACAATAGATAATTTTTTTCTATGGAAGGACAATAGACAATATTTTCTCCCCAGACCAGCACAATTACAAGCAAAGATGGGGAGCAACAACACAAAAACAGCCAACGCAGGTCTCCATTCTCAGCAAAAGAAAGCGTCAGCGAAGCTCCTATCTCTGAAACTGCCAACGCAGGGAGGTCCTAACCCCCACGACAAGCAGACAAGATAAAACCCAGCCAACGTTGAATTCTGCAGCGCCTGATAAGGTTTCAACCAAAGACTGAGAACACAAACGGGGTCACACTAATCACATTTGCAGAATCAGCATCACCACAAGCCCTTACACAGAATGCTAACAAGGCTACAACTATCCTGAGAGCACCTGACTCCACTATCTGTGCTAACATGAGAGCACATAAATCCACTATCCTGAAGGCTAGTAGGACAAGATCATAAGAGACGACTGTACAACGCTATCTGACATGCGAACTGACTAAAGGTATGCACCTGAAACTAAAGGCTTCGACTCACTAGACTAACAATACAGGTTAACACCATAATACAGATGTCTAACAATAAACAAGGCACAATGAATATGACCATGAAAAATTACAGAACGTATATATGAAAATTACACATTTAAAATAGTGCAATTATACTGTATAATATGTATATATATATAAATATAGAATGCAGCTCATTAATGTTCCTTGAATCATAATACAGATTTACAAACAACACCAACAAGAACGGACAAGCATACCAGTTGAGAATATACACAAAAGTAAGACCCTTAATATAAAATTAGGTAGCAGAAAGCTCAGTAGTGCAACTTACAAAATGTTCTCCTGCAGTCCTATCTCTTGAAACATTCACAGCACTTTCAAATGATTTCTCCAGAACTCCTATGACGCAACATAGAATAGTGTAAGATAATCTTGTATGTGCTAGACTCAGTGTACAGGTCTCAAAAGAAAAATAATTGTTCATTAATCAACTAAAAACATCACAATATGACCAGAAAGTTAGTTTTGCTCTGTCTAGGTTATGACAACCCTATAATGTCTCTTTAAGTCATTTAATTTCTAATGCCATATTTATTTATGGAAAATGAATGATCATATACCTATAGGTAGATATGTAGAGAAGGAGACCAATTCATCATATACCTAAAAAAAATTGCATATACTCTAAACTACAATTGCGGTTCTCCATATTTGTAATTTACATTATTCTTGTTTGCAATTCTTTAGATGACCTATATACATAGTTTACTGCAAATAATCTATAGTAACACAGAGCAACAACATACTGACATAAAACAAATTGCTTCTCTCTGATATATGTACAGGACAAACCTTACTTAGACCTGCAGCTTATTAAACTAGAGCAGTAGTAACAGCACAGAAGGCTAAATATGCATTTCAACTAGCACCTAAACTACAAGCAGCAACAAACAAGACCGATCTCTTAGCTCTGATAGGCAAGGAAATAATCTTGCCCTACTAATAATAAGACTGTAATATATTAAGTTAAAAAACAATAAGACTGTAATATAAGAGGGTGAACTGAACCCACACAACAAAAGATATACAAAATCAGTTATAGCTCTAAATAAAAAATATATGAAATCATTATAAACATATTTAGACTGAAATTTTTAACAAACGAGTGGAAGCAGCAACACAAACATAGGAACAAGCTGAAGTCGATTGGACTGGGAATCCACGTGATGACAAGAAAGAATCAAATTCTTTGGTGGCTTCCCTAGGAGGGATCGAGTCCCATGCCATGTAGCAATGCTCAAAAAAGAAGTATACAATCCTAAAACTACAGAGTACAGGTACAATTCTAATTTGGATATCATTTGTTCTCTACATTCAGTTAGCACAAACTGGTGAAATACACGGACTAAAAACAACAAAACAAATTGATAGGTCTCCATTCAGTTAGCGCAACTGAGCAGGTTCAGACTAGAAACCCACAACAAATTCAACCAATCGCAAATACAAGGAAGAAATGTGCACATAAATTTTGTGTCCGCTGGATCAAGAATCAACGGCGCTACTGAACCCCATTTAGGAGTTCAGGACACAATTTCTTATCAGCTAGAGAATGACACAATTTATTCCATTAGAACAATTATCTGAAAAGTCTGAAAATACAATGGCACATTCAGTCCAAGTTTGCAGCAACAACTAAGTAACTGATTCTCAAATTCACATGGAACAGACGACACAATTGAAAAAACAGATCAGCATGAACCTAAAATAAAACATGGAGAGGGAGCAGATCAGAACTGCCATCCTGAACCAAATACAAATTGTCAGAAAACAGGTACTAAAAAATTGAGCATTTCATTTGCTTTAACTTTGCACAATATGTTGAATTCCCTCTGAATCTCAACTTGACAAGGTTAGCAAAAATTCTCTAAAGTACAGAAGTTATAGGTGTTGTAAAATGTCTAGAAGCAGTTGATGCAGTAGGCACAGATGGCTGCCCTGACGACCGTGCTCCAGCAGGAACAACTGAAAGGCTCAATTACTAACCATTCAAACATTGATATGAAACTAACCTAATGCTACAAATCCATCAATGGGCGAAGCATCCATGAAACTCAAACTAAAAAAGAGACTAATAGAACCATTAACCTACATATAAAACACCGAATAATGACTGCATCCAACATGCAGTCAAATCACAATTTCACACTAGCTACATCAATAGATTTCTAGAATTAGATATTCAGAGAACAAGCGACTACTATCACAAAGCAGACTTAATGTTACAAGAAAACTACGATCAGTAGAGACACATATGAACTTAATGTAGGTTAAAATGCAAGCTAGACCAAATTAGAAAAATGCAAGCTCATGCTCAATGCAAATTAGAGCAAATTTCACATTATAATACAAACTAGGACTGGAGATGTTTATTTGACTGCATAATAACTCCTATCTGCTACTAGTAACAGAAGGCAATTTCCTTTCAAAAAAAAAACATGCAGAGGCTCAAGACTTGGCCTGCAAAAAGGACGCTCACCATTCAGAACAAGAGAAAGGCTCCGATCCATCCTGAATTCCTAATAGCATACAACAATTCTAAATGTGCATTGCAGTACCGATAAATAAAACTAAACATGAATATTTAGTTTAGCAACATATTTAGTTCAGTGATACAGGAACATATGAACATTCTGATGACAATGAAGGCTCTCCACTAGCTTTCAACAAGAATAAACAATACTACTTTTCCTTAGGACAGTACACACACATGCTCAGTAATACATGAACACGTCAAGTTAGATTCACCCAATATGCATTTAGAACAGCAGAAGTAAGAAACAAACAAACTACACCACAGTACATGCAGGTCCCTGCTCCTAGAAAATTTGCAGCCAAATATGCCAAAAAAACACCTTCACCAAACCAACAACTCAGCATTTCCCCATGCCTCCCAGGTCCCAAATTTGTTGAAAGACCACCCCACCCGACAAAACCAGCATTCAGCTTAGATGGAATGTTGTTTGGTTCAGCATGCAGGTATCAGTGAACCCCATCCACCTCCAGCAGCCGCCACTGTGGCAACCAAATCCACACCCAGAACCCTTGCCGCAACCAAGGCAAATACAACACAAAATGCGAATCCCTCCATGAACTAGGACAAATCCCCCAAATCATGAACGCCGACGACCATCTACCGCGCCACCCATCCCCGAGCAGCCTCCCCTGCCCCCAATCCGGGCGACGCACACGAGCCAGCAATCGTCATGCTGACGAGAACCGCGGACAACCTCCACAACCTCCATCCCTCCGCCCCACCCAAAAGCCTACCTTATCCCACCTAGATCCCATAAAAATTCCCCACCCAAGTCTCTAGATCCATGAAGAAACGGGATCGAGTACAGAAGTGCAAAGAAGCAACAAGGGGGGGAAACAGCGACCAGAGCACGACCGGGAACCTGTAAAATACCTTCGGCATGATTCCGCGACGGGGAAGCGCGAGTTCGCCGGAGCAATCGCC